GATCTGCCACTGGGTTTTACTAAATGAAATTCTTGAGTGTTTCTTTAGTACTTATTTCTTTATACTTAGTAAAACATAATTTATACAAGTAAACAAACACTAAGAATCTGGAGAATCCCCAAATCATTCTAAAATCAGTGCTTTGGGTAGTTCTTCTACAAGAGAACTGGAACTTCGTGGCAGCCAGTATATTTCAATGTTAGTACAATAAATATGGAACTCAGATACTGACTTTTGTTCATTTCAATCCCAGTCAGCAAGACTTTATGGAAAGGATACTATGTGTGATGAAGGTGGTGGACCAGGTTCTTTTTTCAGAGTTTAAATTCAATTTAAGAATCATTTGAAATGAATTGCCTTAACAGTGAAGTATTTCTTAGCTCCTGGGAGTCTTAATAATAGTTCTCTCTCTCTCTCTCTCTCTCTTTTTTTTTTTTTTTTACTTATAATGAGGTAGTTCTAAGGAGGTAAGTCTTTTTTTTTTTTTATTTCAGGAAATTATGGGGGACAAACATTCTGGTTACATGTTATGACTTTGCCACATCCCAACCGTGATTTGAGACGTGCCCTTCCCCTCCTACAATGCTCACCGTGTCAATTAGTTGTGAGTTTACCCACCCCCAACTCCCCCACCCCCAAAGAATATTACTACTGCGTGAGCACCTTAGTGTTGATCAGTCAGTGCCAGTTTGATGGTGAGTACATGTGGTGCCTATTCTTCCATTCTTGCGATGCCTCACTTCAGAGGATGGATTCAAGCTCTATCCAGGAAAATATAAGAGGTGCTGGATCACCGTCATTTTTTATAATTGAGTAGTATTCCATTGTATACATATACCATATTTTATTAATCCACTCATGGATTGACAGAACTTGGGTTGTTTCCACATCCTTGCTATAGTGAATTGTGCTGCCATAAACATTCGCGTGCAGATGTCTTTATTATAGAATGACTTTCGTTCCTTTGGGTAGATGCCTAATAATGCTATTGCTGGATCAAATGGTAGTTCCACTTGTAGCTCTTTGAAGTATCTCCAAATTCTTTTCCACAGAGGTTGCACTAATTTGCAGTCCCACCAGTAGTGTAAGAGTGTTCCTGTCTCTCCACATCCTCGTCAGCATTTGTTGCTTTGGGATTTTTGAATAAAGGCCAATCTTACTGAAGTTAGGTGATATCTCATTGTGGTTTTGATTTGCATTTCCCTAATGATTAGAGATGTGGAGTATTTTTTTATATGCTTGCTGGCCATTATTCTGTCTTCTTCTGAAAAGTTTCTCTTCATGTCCTTCGCCCATTTATTGATGGGGTTGTTTCATTTGTTCTTGTTGATTTTTTTGAGTTCTAGATAGATTCTTGTTATCAGCCCTTTATCAGATATATAGAGAGCAAATATTTTCTCCCATTCTGTAGGTTGTCTATTCGCTCTAATGATAGTTTCCTTAGCTGTACAAAAGCTTTTTAATTTGATCAGGCCCCATTTATTTGTATGGAACTAGAGAAGACCTCGTATAGCCAGAGCAATCTTGAGCAAAAAGAACATACTGGGAGGTATCAGTCCACCGGACTTCAAGCTGTACTACAAGGCTCTAGTACCTAAAACAGCATGGTACTGGCATAAGAATAGAGACATAGACCTTTGGAACAGGACTAAGAATCCAGAGGTGAAATCATCTGCATATTGTCATCTAATCTTTGACAAAGCAGACAAGAATATACACTGGGGAAAAGAATCCCTTTTCAATAAATGGTGCTGGGAAAGTTGGATAGCTACATTCAGAAAATTGAAACTGGATCCCCACCTCTCACCTCTTACAAAAATCAATTCTAGGTGGATAATAGACTTAAACCTAAGGCATGAAACCTTAAGAATCCTAGAAGAAAATGTAGGGAAGACTCTTTCAGACATTGGCCTAGGCAAAGAATATATGAAGAAGACCCCCAAAGCAATCACAGCAGCTACAAAAATAGTAATTCTTTTTAAAGAGATAAGAAATTTGAATGTAACATGATAAATATGATTAAATGCAAGGGAAAAACAGTGATGAATTGTTGGCACCAGTCATTTGATATTCTCTGAAAACAAAGAGACTTGTCAGTCTGCCAGTGCTAGGAGTTTCAGTGCCAAGGATATAAAATGAAAAGTGTCCTTTATCTTTTGGGGGGATAGTTTCATAGATGGTAGCCATGAGTAACCTTGGAGTAACTATTTTTCAATCCAAAGTGCGCTGTATTGAAAATGAACTAATTTATGTTCATCATTTCATCATTCTCTTACAGTATGTCATTATATGATACCAAATATATGTGTTTGGGAAATAGCATAGCATAGGATTCCTAAGAGACAAATCAATATATGATGTCAGATACTGAGGAATGTTTTGAAGAAAAACAATTTCAGGGAAGGAGAGAGAGAATGATGGTTATTTTAGAAAGGCTGTATTGACTTCTAGCTATTCCTTGAATGCAGCAGGCATATCCCCATCTTCAGGCCTTTGCACTTGCTATGGCTTCTGGCTACAATGCTTTCCTTCAGATCTGCAGTAACTGTTTTCTCACTTCATTTAGGGCTTTGACCACTCTGACTAAATTAGCACCTTCCATCATTCAATTCTTTCTCCCTATTTTACACCATCTGATCTTGGGGACCATAGAGATTCAGATAAATTCTTTGATAAAACCTTTGCTGTCTGACCTCTTAAATACTTGCTATCTGAAACTTAGGAATTGAAGAGACTTTTTAAAACATCTCTTCTTATTCAATCTAGATGTCCAAATCACGAACCAAATAATTTTGTATAGTAAGGGATACTTGTAGTTTTCTTCATAGCACTTACTAATTTCTGGTTTCTTTGTCTATCCATCTTTTTGCATGTTTCTCTTGCTAAAATGTCAGTGCCGTGGTGGCTGGAATTTCATTTTGTTCATTGCTCTCAGTTCCATGGTGGCTGGAATTTTATTTTGTTCATTGCTCTATCTCCGTCACCTGGAACAGTGCCTGACATTTAATTGATTCTTAATAAAAAAGTATTGAATAGATGTGTTAATATGTGAAAGAATCTGTTTGACCTAATGTCACCTAAACTTTTTATTTTAAAAGTATGGTTAATATTGTACATTATTAAGTTTTAAACAGAATATGGAATTATATGGCATAGTTTCTACTTAGGTTAAAAAAATAAACTTTTGCATTTGTTCGTTTATTCTTTCCTTGAAAGAAAACTTATTAAGTATCTTCTATGTGTCCATTCTGTACTAAGGTATTCTAACTCAGCTTATAGTTTTATAGGAAGACAGATCATGAAACAACAGTAAATGAATGACACCCTTTTCCTCACTCAGTGCTGTGTAGCCATGTTGATCTTCTTTCAATTTCTCAAAGCTGATAAGCTCTTTCCTTTGCACATTTTACTGTCTTCACAGTGCTTTCTTGTATAATGAAACTGGTAATTATATATTTATTTGGATGATTATCTGCTTAAGATCTGTGTGTCTCTATATGGTAGTTCCGTGAGGGCAGGGACTGTGATACTATTTAACTGTCAATACCTAGCTCAATGCCAAGTATATAGCAGGTACTTGATAAACATTCTGAATGAGTGATTAGAAGTACATGATAGAAACACTATATTTAATCTAATGGGTGTTAGGGGAGTTTTCCCTGATGAAGTGAATTTTAAGTTGGGATCTGAAGAATGAGGAGGAATTAGCAAGTGAAGAGGACCAGGCAGAGTGTTCTAGAGCTTCAACTCAGACTTTATCCTAAAAGCAATAGAAGACTTTTAAACAAAGAAGTGGCACTATCAGACTTGTATTTTTAGATGGACCATTTTTCAGTGTTGTTAGAAACAGACTGGATGGGCAATGCTAGAGCAGAAATATTGGTTGGGATGCTTTAATAGTAATAAATGGTGGTGGCCTCATTTGGGTTCTTGGCAATGAAGAAAGGGGGAGGTGGACACATATGAGTGATTTTTAGAATGCAAAATAACTGACTGGGGGTAGTGAAGGAAATGGAAGAGTTAAGTATGATTCCAAGTTTCTGTGTCAGGCAACTGAGAGGATCCTGGGACCATTCACAAAGACTAGGGACTCAGAGGGAAGAACTATCTGAGGAGAAAAGAACTTGATATACCCTTGAGACCTAACTATATTAAGACTAAACATTAAGGACTTGGTTATGTAGCTGAATTTTCTGGGTATAGATACTTTTAAAGAATTGCCTTAAAAAATAATCAAA